CAACATCAAAGATAGATATTACCTCAGAGTAAAGTGCTAGAAAAAAAGATTTTCCAAGCAAACAGACCCAAGAAGCAAGCTGGAGTAACCATTTTAATACCTAGTAAAATAGACATTCAACTAAAGAGATGGGGAAGGCCACTTCATACTAATCAAAGGGAAAAAAAATCACCAAGATGATGTCTCAATTCTGAATATCAATGCCCCAGATGCACTGGTACCCACATTTGTAAAAGAAGCATTACTAACGGTTAATGGGCCCCTCTACATTAATAGTAGGAGACTTAAATAACCCATTCTCACCAATGGACAGGTCACTTAGAAACTAACCAGAGAAACAATGAAACTAACAGATGTTATGACTTAAACGGACCTAAAATATCTACAGAACATTTTGCCCTTTTGCCCAAACACAAAGGAATATGCTTTCTTCCCAGCACCTCATGGAACCTTTTCCAAAATTGAAGACGTACTTGGTCACAAAACAAGTCTCAACAGATACAAGAAAACTGAAATAACCTCCTGTATCTTATCACATTACCAAATATTAAAGCTGGACTTTAACAACAACAGAAACAACAGAAAACCTACAAACTCATGGAAACTGAACAATATTCTACCGAATGACCACTGGTCAAGGAGGAAATAAAGAAAGAAATTAAAGACTTTCTAGAATTCAATGAAAATGAATGCATAGCATACCCAAATTTATGGAACACAATGAAAGCAGTGCTAAAAGGAAAGATCATAGCACTAAGTACCTTCATAAAGAAATTGGAGAGCTCTAATACTAGCAATTTAAAAGCATACCTGAAAGCTCTATAACAAAAAGAAGCAAACACACTCAAGAGGAGCAGACAGCACAAAATAATAAAACTCAGGGCTAAAATTAATAAATTAGAAACACAGAGAACAATACAAAGAATCAGTGAAACCAGAGCTACTTTGAGAAAATCAACAAGATAAGACAAACACTTAGCAAAACTAACTAAAAGGCAGAAAGAGAATATCCAAATTAACAAAATTTAAATGAATGAATGAAATGAATGAAAAAGGGGATATAATAACAGACACTGAGGAAATCCAAGGAACCATTAGTTCTTATTTCAAAAACCTGTATTCCACAAAATTGGAACATATAAATGGATGGATAATTTTCTTGATAGATTTTACTTACCAAAATTAAGTCAGGATCAGGTAAACAATTTAAATAGGCCTATAATCCCTAAGGAAATAGAAGCAGTCATTAAAATTCTCCCAACCAAAAGAAAAAAAAAAGGAAAAAGAAAAAAGTCCAGGAACCAGTTTTAGCTCAGAATTCTACCAGACTCTCAAGAAGAGTAAATACCAACACTTCTCAAATTACTCCACAAAATAAAAACATTTTATGAGGCCACCATACCCTGATACCCATACCACACAAAAACTCAACAACAAAAAAGAATTTCAAACCAATTTTCCTTACGAACTTTGATGCAGAAATACTCAATAAAATACTCGTAAGCCAAATCCAAGAACACATCAAAATCATCAGCCACCATGATTAAGGGCTGATGGATGGTTCAACATAGGAAAATTCATTCATGTAACCCACCATATAAATAAAGTAAAAGGAAAAAAAAGCATGGTAATATCATTAGACACTGAAAAATCCTTTGACAAAATCCAACACCCCTTCATGTTAAAAATCTTGGGAGAGATGAGGGGTAGAAGGCACATTCCTAAACACAATAAAGGCAACATACAGCAAGCCTATAGCCAACATCAAGTTAAATCAGGGACAAGACATGTCTGCCCACTCTCTCCATATCTATTCAATATAGTACTTGAAGTTCTAGCTATAGTAATATAATTAAAGGAGATCAAGGGGATACAAATTGGAAAGGAAAAAGTCAAAGTATCGTTATTCTCAAATGATAGGATAGTATACGTCAGTGACCTCAAATATTCTACCAGATAACTCCTGCAGCTGATAAACACCTTCAGCAAAGTGGCTGGATACAATATTAACTCAAAACAATCGGTGGCCCTCTTTTATACAAATTATAAACCACCTGAGAATGAAATTAGTCAAACATCACCCTTCACAGTTGCCACAGATAATGTAACGTATCTTGGTGTAACTAACCAGGCAATTGAAAGACTTGTACAAAAAAACAAAACAAAACAAAAAAAAACAAAAAACAAAAACAAAACAAAACAAAAAAAACAAAAAAAACTTCAAGTCACAGAAGAAAGAAATTGAAAAAGATACCAGAAGATGGAAAGATCTCTTATGCTTATGGATTGGTAGGATTAACATAGTAAAAATGGCCATTCTGCCAGAAGCAATCTACAGATTCAATGCAATTACCATCAAGATTCCAACACAGTTCTTTACAGATCTTGAAAGAGCAACACTCAACTGCATATGGAAAAACAAAAACTCCAGAATATCCAAAACAATCCTATACAATAAAAGAACTTCTGAAGGCATCTCCATCCCTGATTTCAAGCTGTACCACAGAGCAATAGTAATAAAAACTGCATGATACTGGCATAAAAGCAGATAGGTTGATCACTGGAATTGAATTGAAGACCCAGAAATAAACCCTATGGACACTTGATTTTTGACAAAGAGGCCAAAACCATACAATGGAAAAATGATAGGATCTTCAACAAATGGTGCTGGTCTAACTGTATGTCTGCATGCAGAAGAATGGAAATAGATCTATATTTATCACCTTTTACAAAACCCAAGTCCAAGTAGATCAAAGACCTCAACATAAAACCATATACAGTAAATCTAATAGAAGAGAAAGTGGTGAACAACCTTGAACACATTGGCAAAAGATGTTCCTGAATAGAACCCCAACAGATATTGACACTTAGATCAACAATAAATGGGACCCCAAGAACCTGAAAAGCTTCTGTATGGCAAAGGACACTATCAATAGGACAAAACAGCAACCCACAAAATGGGAAAATATCTCCACCAACCTTACATCTGACAGAAATCTAATATCCAAAATAATTGAAGAACTCAAGAAATTAGACACCAACAAACCAAATAACCCAATTAAAAGTGGGGTACAAAGCTACACAAAGAATTCTTGACAGAGGACTCTAACGGCAGAGAAGCACTAAAGAAATGTTCGGTGTCTTTAGTCCTCAGGGAAATGCAAAATAAAACTATTCTGAAATTCCATCTTATACCATTCAGAATGGCTAAGATTAAAAACTCAAGGAACAGCTCATGATGGCCTGGAAGTGGAACAAGAACGATCCTTCATTGCTGGTGGGAGTGCAAATTTATACAACCACTTTGGAAATCAATTTTGTTGGTTTCTCAGAAAATTGGGAATGGCTCTGCCTCAAGATCCAGCTGTACCACTCCTTGGCCTATACTCAAATGAAGCTTCACCTTACCACAAGGACACTTGCTCAACCATGCTCATAGGAGCCTTATTTGTAACAGCCAGAAACTAGAAACAACCTAGATGTCCCTGAACCAGTGAAGTGGTAGGTTTACGTAATGGAGTATTACTAACCTGTTAAAAACAATGACATCATGAATTTGCAGGCAAATGGAATGAACTAGAAAAGATCATCCTGAGTGGTTTAACCCAGGCTAAGACGGACAGATATGGTATATAAGCACTTTTCAGTGGATATTAGTCCAAAACTACAGAATGGGAAAAGATCTTCACCAACTCTACACCCGACAGAGAACTAATATCACAAATATATAAAGAATTCAAGAATTAGACACCAACAAACCAAATAACCCAGTAAAAATGGGTTGTTGTTATTATTATTTACCACAAACAGACCCAAAGAAGGAAGATAATGGGGGGGGGTGCTTGAATATCACTAAGATGGGGAAATAGATTAGACATGGGTGTGGATGGAATTTTGGTTGGGTGAGGGGATGGGGATGGGAATAGGAGAGATGAGTTGGGGATAGGATGGAGGGGAGAGACTACTGGGATGAGGGTAGGCATCTCTGAGAGGAGCTAGAAACCTAGAACAATGGAAACCCTAGCTAACAATGGAAACCCTATGACGGTAACCCTAGCTAAGACTCCTAGCACTGAGGAATATGGAGCCTGAACCAGCCATCTCCTGTCATTAGGCAAGCCATCTGCTAGAGGGATTGGGACACCAGCTGAGCCACAAAACTTTAGAGCCACAATTTCTTCTTCCAACAAGATGTGCAGGGTTAAAAGCTGGAGCATTGAGGGAAAGGCCAGCTAATGCCTGGCCCAGCTTGAGACCAATTTCATGAGAGGTAGCCCATCCCACACACTGTTAATGATATTTTGTTATACTTGGAGACAGAAGCCCAGCATAAATGTCATCAGACAGGTTTCATCCAGCAACTGATGGAAACTGATGGCAGAGAGCCACAGCCAAACATAAGGTGGAGCTTGGGGAATCCTTTGGAAGAAGAGGAGGAAGGAGTGAAGAAGCTCATAGAGACTCAATTGCCAACCATAGAGCATGCTTGGTAGGGACCTAGGGACTCTGCACATATGTAACAGTTGTGCAGCTTGGTCTTCATGTGAGACTCCTAAAGGAAGAGCAGAGGCTCTCTGATTATATTGCCTTCCTTTGGATTCCTTTCCCCTAACTGGGCTGTCTTGTCTAGCCTCAGTAGATTTACCTAATCTTACTGCAGCTTGATATGCCAAGTGATATCCATGGCAGGCCCCCCCTTTTCTGAGGAGAAGGGAAGGAGTGGTGGGTCAGCCAGGTGAAAGGGAAGGACTGAGAGGAGAGGAGAGAGGGGAAGCTATGATGGGATATAAACTAAAGATCTTAATCAACAAAAAAAAATCAAGGCTAATTTTATGAAGTCAATAATTTAAGAATTAGCTTCCTGTAGCCACATAGATAGTTGGTGCTCTTATTTAGATTATAAGATATAAAAAAGAAAAAAATATAGAATATAATCAGGAATGACACTTCTTACTTTGAAAAATTACGATTATAAAATCTGTTTCAAATACAGTTTTACCAACTGGTAATTATCAGAAAACCAAACTTTTTTTTTCCTACTTTCATTATGATATAAATACAAAGTAAATGACATTATCAATAGTTCGCTGATTTATATAACCCATGGTAGAGTATTTCTTTGTAATAAAACACCGTCTTCCACAAATGGAGAAGATAGCACATTACAATTTCAAGGAAAATTTTATATTAAAAAAATCCAATTTATTTTAGCCTACATTTGAGTTTCATTTAATCCCAAGTAACAAGGAAGTTAACAATCAGTGCTGGAACTTATCTATTACCATTTATTTCTAATAACATTATTTTAAGCTTATATACTATAAATCATGGTTAGTCTGATAAAAACAGGACATGAATTGAGACTGTATTTCTAATGAACAAATGTTCAAGTGTCATCTAGGTAGGAAACGCTTGTAGAGTGTGAACTCTTTCTCTCTATGCTAATTTTCTGGATTTGTTTTAGGACACTTGTAAATAAACTGTAAATTTAGATGATGTTGCAATTACAACATTAAATAATAAGATGTTCAAGTAAGAATGTCCAGAACATACTGCTGTTTTGTATTGATGTTATTTTCTGAAGACTAATAGCTCTGCCTCTTTGAAGGAGTTGGGTTCTATTTTCCTTCTAAACGTTCCTTTACTAATTTTTCCAAAGAGAAGAGATGCTCATCTGCATCTTCTGGCACAAGTTTCCTAATAGAATTTGCAAGTTCAAAAAGATATTCTGTATTTCTTCCACTTGGACCAGATGCATTATAAATTTGTTCAGCAATGTCTTCCAGAGGTGCAGGACCAAGATAGTTAGGATTGTCACACGTTCCAATGTAGAGCAAAACACTGAATGGTTTTGTTGTGGGATCTTTTGGATAAAAAATGACCGTTGATGTTCTATAGCCGCCTTTCTCTCTGAAGTCAAGGTATGTTTTTACTTCCTCTTCTTTTCCTACTGGTAGTTTGTAAGCAACACCCCACACACTGCCCTGTTGAAAATCAAAAGAATACATTGTCAAACTATGTGAGGATATATTATGACCAAGGATATCTTATAAACAACTAAGAAAAACAGTATTTAAAAACCTTCATTCTGAGTAAGTAATTGACTGAGAGGGCTTTTCCATCAAATTCCTATATTAGGTCTTATTGTCCTGTTTATTGATTATTAAGAAGTTCTGTGGAAGAGTGCCACTTGCCGACTAGGAATTACAGCTGCTGGTTTGAAGGTGAGGTGCTTTCAGATGGCTCTCCACGATAAACTGGTGGGAGTGTTTTGTAGCCTAGACTATAATTAATGCCACTAAGGGTTGCCTCTTCTTGTTCTTGAATTATCAGATCAGGACTATGGTTTTGAACAAGGCTGGCCTTGAACTTGTGATTCTTCTGCCTCAGCTTCCTGACAGGCAGGCGGCAGTACTCCTGGTGCTGCTTGATGCTTGTGTTGTATAATTTGTTCAAGTTTAGAGAAACTGAGTACCGTCCATAAAGTTTTGAGTGCTTCAAACTCACTTAAAAATCACAAGTGCTGTTGATAAAGTGAGTTAGAAACTTTTAGCTTTTTACTGAAAAATACTGGATTCCACATAAATTGCAAGAGAGCTTTAAGGATTCTATTTGATTCTTAGTCATAATTTGCTTATATGGAGCCTGTTTCCATTATTATCAAAGAGGATCACAAAAATTCTTAGTCACCAAACTCACTTAGAAAAGTCCTAAAAAGGAGATTTTATACCATTTCATTTGGTTGCATTTTATTGTGTTTTTTGGTCTGATTGTAACTTTCCCACAACCACTAAAAAAACCAAACAACAAACAAAAACCCAAGAAAAACACCTCCATAATAAATACACAAACTGGGCGGTGGGCCATGTTGGCACATGCCTTTAATCCAGGACAGCCAGGACTTCACAGAGAAACCCTGTCTGAACAAACAAAAAACAAAACAAAACCCCCCAAAAAAACTAAAAACAGCCAAACAAATAAAGAACCTCCCAAACCTAGGTCAAACTCATGTTTTATATTTTACAGTTGTGTAGCTTGGTTTTCAGTTTAGGACTTCTAACAGTATGAGTAGGGGATGTCTCTGACTCTTTTACCTGGTTTGGGGACCCTTTTCCTCCTACTGGGTTGCCTCATTCAGCCTTAACATGAGGGAAGCTGCCTAGTTTGGTTGATATCACTGGGAAGCCTGGGCTTTTCTGAAGGGAAATGGAGGAAAAGTGGATTGGTGGAGAGGGGAAGTACATGAAGGAGGTACTGGGAATAGAGGAGGGAGGAGAAACTGGTCAGGATAAAATATCTATCAGAGAATAAAAATAAATAGATAAATGAATAAATAAATAAATAATAGATAAATACCAAAAGGCCAAAATACAAACACAGAAAAGAGTTCTAGACTTAGTTTAATGCAGATTTTCTGTGATGACTAATAAAAATTTCACTGATTATTGAAATACAGAGCTAAGAGTTTAATTAAGTCTATGAAAAAAAAAAATAAGTATACTATACCCCAGGATCTTCAACAAGGGTCACAACTCTTCCAGGCTGTTTTGAAAAAGGTAGAAATAAGTATTTTTTCTTCTGAATTGAAGTTCATTATATAACTAAACATTAACAACTTGTCATAGAATAATAAAGCTCTACTACATCTATCTTAACCACTTTACTTAGGGAGTAGATTAAATCATTGCTAGGCCACACCTCTAATAGATCAGATTCTGTAGGTCTGGAGCCTGATAATAGGTATTTGTAATAGCATGGCAGCTGGCTTAGTGAAACTATTGCATCCATCTTTCAGAACCACTACTAGGACATTCTTAGGTCTCAGTTATGAATGAATGACTGATTTTTTTTTTTTTTTTTTTTGGCCTGTAGCTATGAAGCACCTTTACCTTTGTATTTATGCCAAAGGGTGCTTCAAAGTAGCTGCTTTTATATTCTCATAAATGAATGTCACAGTGATTTAATGAGACGCTAATACTAGACCTCATCACTCCACCTACCGACCTGTCTGCCTATCATTTATTTATGTATTTATTTGTGTGTGTGTGTGTGTGTGTGTGTATAAATTTTTGAGGAAAAGTCTCTTGTAGCCCAGAGTGTCCTCAAACTTGCTATGTAGCTAAGGCTTGGTTTGAACTCCTGGTTTTCCTGCTTCTACCTCTGAAGTGCTAGGATTATAGGCATATCCACCATGCCTGGCTTAGAAATTGTCTACTTTTTTTTTTTTTTTAATTGTTGACTCTTCTTATACAAGACAGACTACCTGGCAGGACTATCATACCCTTAAGTACATTTTAATTAATTAAATTTTAAATAATTAATCAATTGTTCTTTTCAGATAGTTCTTAGTCTATAGTCTGGGCTACCTAGAACTCACTATGTAGCCTTGAATTCCTGGAGAACTTTCTGTCTCTGCCTCCCCAGACTGCTGTTTGTAGCAGAGGGTTCCCCCCTAAGAGAGAGACATTTTAGAAAGATGACTGGAGATTGCATAAAGTTAGATTTGTAAAGCCAGAGATGAGAATTGAGGGAGTGGAGGTGGAGTTTATAGTAGAAGTAGACACTTTTCCTATCTTGAACCTTAGGCTAAAAACAAACAAGACAAAACAAAACAACAAAAAAAGCACAATTGAAGTCAGTGTACAACGAACAACTAAAGTTAGTGGGAATAAGCCATTGAAATGTGCGAGAAATTAGAAATTGAAACCTGTGGCGTGTGGGTAGCAGGTGACTGGTAGGATGGAAGAAGTATTTTGGGAATATCAGGTTGGTAAAATGTACAGTGATTACAATGGAAGGAGGAAGAAATAGAACGATGCAGAATGAAAAATTCGTGCACTGAGGGTGACAATTTTGCATTCCAGCTCATTTCCCCTTCTGCCCAGCTCATCCAGTTCTGGATAGTTTTATCTTTAAAACTTTTGTCTTCTAAAATTATGTGAAGGTACACTATCCCCCCACTAAAATAAGTCCATATTTTAAAAACTATGTGTCTGCGTGGGGTTATATGCATATGAGGCTAGAAGAGGACATCAGATCCCCTGGGAGCCAGAGTTACAGATAGTTGTGTGCTGCCCATTGTAGGTCTTGGGAAATGAACTTGGGTTCTCTGCAAGAACAGTATGAGTTCTTAACTTCAGAGCCATCTCTTCACTCCAATTTGGTTCTTTTTCTATCATCCAGTCATCTCCTTAAAGATTTCTCTGCCTGCCTCTGATTTTGCTTCTTCCTACTCTAGGGAGAGCCAAGAATAGCTTTCTAGCTTTAAATCTTTCAAGATTGTGATATTCTACAGAATACAACCAACAAAAGTGCTTTGCTAAACTACAAACCCCATTCCTTCCCACCTTTCTCATTGAGTTATACTGACTTACTTAAAACTCTTATTTATAACTCTTACAGTCATGTCTTTAAACATTTTTGAAAAGCAGTGTATGTTTGTAAATGTTTTCTTTGATAAGCAATGAAACTGAAGAAAGGGTTCTTTCCTTATTTTAAGACAGGGTTTTATGTAGCCCAAGCTGGCCTGGTATTTGCTCTGTAGCTGAAGATGGCCTAGAACTACCTTCTGATATTCCACCTCTTATCTCTTGAAGTAGGAGTAAAGTTCCCCCACACCCTAGTTTATGTGGTAGTAGAGATTAATATTAGCTGAGCTACAAGCTGCCCTTTTCATTTCCTTCTTTATTTTTGAGACAAAACAGGGTCTTGCTGTGTAGCACAGGCTGGCCCCAGTGTGGCAATCCTCTTACCTCAGCCTCCTCAGTTCAGTGATTACAAGTGTGCATCACCATTCATGGCTAAGAAGAGGTCTTTTAAACTGAATAGGATTGGAAGATGTTTTATTATTGTCAGAATTGGTGTTTTTATTAGGTGATGAGGAATGCTTTTAATCTAGGAAAGTTAAGGATTTAGTAAATGTTCCTGATTTTTTCAAATTAAAATGATACCTTTGCCAGGTGTGGTGGTCTACACCTGTACTCTAGAGTACTTGGGAGGTGGAGGCAGGAGTATCAGAAATTCATAGTCATGTTAACTATATACCAAGTTCAAAGCAGCCTGAGCTATACAAGATCCTGTATCAAACAAAACAAAATAAACAAGCTTCCTGTTTTGCAGTTATAACTTTGGAGAAAATCTCCTTAAGTCAAATCTTTACTTTGTTGAGAAACAATCATTTTTGTGATAAATATATATTCAAGTAAATTTAGGAGTGAGGTATGGAGGCACAGGCCTTTAATCCCTGCACTCTGGGAGGCAGAGGAGGTTGTATATCTGTGAGTTTGAGGTCAGCTTGGTCTACATAGTGATTTCCAGGCCAGCCAGGAATGTGTAGTGAGACTCTTGTCTCTAAAAACAAAAAAACAAAAACTTAGAAAGAAATTAAAGTCTAATGAAGAAAAGTCAAACACTATTTTCTCTGCTACACTATGTGTGAATAAGCTTGTATATATCTACCTTTCTTATTAACTAATTTACTGGGTACACCCTGCTGTAAAAAAACAGTATATCCTAAGAAGTATCATTCTAAGTTGCTGAATAGTTCTGTAGGCTTTTTTATTCTTGTCCAGATGGTTAACACTTAGACAAATGTGAATTCCAATGTGAAGTCAAGTAATGATGTTTTGTCTAGTTCTTAAAAAGAATACTTTATTTGGAACATAATTAGTACAAGGTATTTCCTTTCATGTTCAAGGATGGAATTTTTTGAAATGAAAGGTGTAAAACTATTAGCCAATGGAGTTCCTTGCTCTAGATTTCCTTTCTTAAGTCTCAGTAGGCTAAAGTATGAAGAAACATTGGTGTATTATTTTTTTACATTTATTTACTTTATGTGGCGCAGCTGTGCCATGGCTTGTGCATGGAGGTCAGAGGATACCTTGTAGGAGTCAGTTTTGTCGTTTGCTTGAGGAGACACATCACTGGCCTTATTTATTAAAAATGTTTCTTTTTAAGAACCATGGGACCCTGCCACCTCCCAGACAGGGTTTCAGTATGTACCTCTGGCCTCAATTCACAGAGATCCACTGGCCTCTGCCTCCTGAATGCTGGAACTAAAGTCATGTACTACTATGCAGGCTCTCTGGCCCTACTTTTAAAAGTGATACATAGAACCAAAACCAAACAGCTCCTTCATCCCCAAGAAAACCCATGGACTTTTGAAGAACTAGTGTATTGATTAGACAATTTCTTACCAGCAGTCTGCTTGGCAGTACACATATTATGTAAGAAACATATATTAAAACTGATGTCTTGAATATTGTTGTATAATTGTCTTGAATTCTTGGTTATGATGTTTCTGTTGGCTGTAAATAAACATTCGCCCTCAGTTTTGGGTTCCAGCAGGTCAGGAAAGTCTACCTTAATTCTTAATTGACAAACTTAGAATGGTTCTAACTCAGATGCTTTTCATGTGTCTTTTAGCAGGTACAAACTATTTCAGAATCTTGGTCTTTTCCTTCCAAGAATCTCTTCTGATATCTGGCTTCCAGCATTTTAGAATATTGTACTTTGGAGTATTTTTAAAAATGGTGCTGGGACTTGAACTCAGGGCCATGTGCTAGGCAGGAACTCTACTACTTAAGTATATCCCAACCCCCTTTTTAATTTCTGAGTTTCAGGTCCAAGCAGGTCTTGAATTTGTGACCCTCTTTGGGATTACAGACTTAAACCAGCAGGCTAGGCTAATTTTGAGAGTATTTTAGAGAACATATAAGCATTCAAAATGAAGTACTACAAAGGTTAGAAGTTAGCCAAACAAATTACTAGTTACTGCATACTTGTTTTATTTTTTTCAGATTAGTTGTTTTGAAGCCAGTGCAAAGCTGTGAGCTGCTTCTAATTCTCTGAACCCCTACTGAGATGAATGCCTTATGTGACCGACTGAAAATAGATAAAATGATTTGTATTTTACATTAATAATCCAAGAGCACTCTGGAGAAGGAACCATGAAAGAGTAACGTAGATTTTTGTACTGTTTTACTCATAACGAACTGCAAACCTTACATAACTTATATCTCCCAATCAAAATAATCACCATGGGCATAAAAATTGGAAATAACTTTGTAAACTAGTTCTTTTGTGATCTTAGGCATCTTTAAACTAAAACATTAAAAAAAATAAATTGGAAATTTTTGATCACATGTAAATTCAAAGTAGTAAACAACTGGCATATTGCGGGCATATCAACGAATTTACATATTGATCATGTGTTGACATGAAAATTCATCTTTATTAATTTTGGGGGGTTGGCAAGACAAGGGCTGCCCCAGGTACTTCAGCCTTGTGCGAGCTTGCGTGCCTGTGCCTTCTCCTTTAGAAACTAACTGCTCGTCCAGTCATGGTGGAACCCACCATTAAATCCCAGGACTTGGGAGGCAGAGGCAGGCAATCCCAGGGAGTTCAAGGCCATCCTGGTCTACAAAACGAGTTCCAGAGGGCACACGAGAAATCCTGTCTCGAAAAACCAAAAACAAAAACAATATCAAAACCCCCAAACCAAACCTAACTGCTGGCTTCTGAAAAGGTCTCAAGGTGACCGTCCTGGAGAGAGAGGCGAGGACAGGTGGCCAACGAAGTTGCGGAGAGCGTTATTCTATGCCAGTGCTCTGCCTCGTAGCTAGGTGTGCGGGCACTGGCTCCTTACCTTGCCGGGGACCCCGCGGTGGTCAGTGCTGCCTTGCCAGAAGCGCCTGCTATAGTTTGTGATGTAACCAACCAGCTTGTCCTGGTAGGGGAAGTCCACCTTCCAAATGAGGGACCCGTAACCAAACACCCACATCTTTCCGGACCCTGGCCAGCTTCCGGGCTTCAGAACGGGACTGCCGCCAGGGGAGTAACCGGCTGCAGGGGCGGCGGCAGGCGTGCTGGCTACTGCCGGGGTTCAGCGCAAAGCACACTGGGTTGCAGTCTCCAGGAACGTTTTTTTCCAGAGCTTCTGTGGTGCAAGGGGGGTAGGAGTCAGGGGACTACATTACCCACAATTCTTCAGAAATTTGCGACATTGTAGTTGGAGCAGCAGCCCTCCCCCTCTTTTCTTGCGAGATTAGAGAGAGGAGAAAAGGCAGGACCCCTGGCTGGAACTGGTACTCTCTTATAGGCACCGCAGTCGGCACATAGGCACTTTGTTGTGTTTTGAAAATTGGCTAGCTGCCGACGTTTAACAGCCTGAGTAGCAGATCCTGGAAGTATAATCACCATATGACCAAAACCTCTTCCCTTTGCCTTTCAAATAGAAGCAGAAAATTAGCAACACCAGTTTTATGCCTGTGAAAGAGCAACTAGAACACTGGATGAAAAAAAGAAATAAAAAGGAAAAGAACATGACTGCTTCTAGGTATGGGGGAGGAGAGAATTTGTTACAGGTAAAAGGGAGGCATAGAATCAGAGATATCTGGGAGAGCCTAGAGTGGACAAGACCAAACTGAGCTGTGCAATGTGAGGCGAGTAGTGAGGGAAAGAGGAGAGGAAAGTGGGGAGCCAGTGCAGCAGCCAGGAGGCTCGAAGAGGAATAGATGAAAGAGACCAGGTATCCGAAATGGTGGGATTATATAGGTAAGGGCAACTCACCCTCTGAGTTGGAGAGGTTTAGGGTAGGGGACGGAGTATGCCAGCCAGGAGGGCCCTGTAACAGATAGGGACTACGGGATGTAGGGAGAACCTGGCGGCCAGTGTTGGCTTTGATATTAAATGGGCTCCTCAGCCGTTTGTCCCAGTGCTGAAACCTAACATGTATTTAAACTGCCAAAAAGAGTCATGTTCATACTTAATGTTCTCTGCGGCTCAGAGAAGAGCAGGTGTGCTGACACATTACTTACAGTCCTTCATTGGTTTCTATAATGCTGTCTCTAGAGTTCCTTTCGCAGATGAATGGGTACTGTTTTGTTTGGTAACAGGAAACTTGGAGGATGATGTATATTCTTTAATGAGTCCATATTATTTTGGATTGTTGAGTGTTCTTATATTTAGTTTCAAATGTTTTTTTCCCCTGGATTTCATTCTTAACTCTTATGTTTTTCATTGCTTCCCTTTCAGGTAGTTCTAAACTATGGCAGGACAGCTTAAAATTTAGATAAACATTGGTAGGAAAATCTATAGAATCATGGGTAACTTGGGAAACCTGTTTTCTTAGTCTTGCTTTGGGCTGTGTTCTTTTTTTTTTTTTTTTTTTGTATTCTTAAGAGTGTAGTATATTATGTATTTGAATTGCTCAGAAATTGAAAATTAAGTGATACGTACATACTTTCCCCTACAAAGACCCAAAACTCCCCTGGCATTTGACATAATCTTGCCAGGAGCTGATGTGAGGGCCATCTGGGGTAAGCTGGAGCTCAGGCTGTGTGTCATGACAGTTTCTTCAATGGTCTCACGTGCGATATGAAACAGGGCCACTGTGATGTGCTGATCTAGTTCAGTTTTGTTTTTACTGACCGTAGTATTGTCTTTCTGCCTTGCTTTATAGACTGACTGAGCAAAAGGATGAATTTTACGGAGGCTTACTCAGATACATGCTCTGCGGTTGGACTTGCTACCAGAGAAGGAAATGTTAAAATTTTAAGGAAACTGCTCAGAAAAGGTCGAAGTGTGGATGTTGCTGATAACAGGGGATGGACGCCAATTCATGAAGCAGCTTATCACAACTCTGTAGAGTGCTTGCAGATGTTAATTCACACAGGTAAAGTAAAGGCAAGTTGTGGGGCTGTCTATAATAACTAAAATCAGAAAATAAGATTGTAATCATTGGTAGTATTTGTTTCCTTTTCTGTAATCCTCTCTCTCCTATTAAGGATGGTAAGATTTCTGCCTTGGCTGGTATTCCATCTAGACATCTATAAATACTGCCCTTTATACCGGAAGTGTTTGTACTTTATTTATTTTACATTTATTTACATACTTACTTAATTTGTTTGTGTGAGGCATACATGTACTGTGGTACGCCTGTGGAGGTTAGAGGACATATTGAGGGAGCTAGTTTTCCCCCTCTATCATGTGGGTTCTGGGGGTTAAACTTCGGTTATCAGGTTTAGCAGCAAGTGTCCTTACCCTTTAAGCCATCTCACTGGCCTCTTTATTTTTGATTTTGTTTCTCTTTTGTGACAGGGTCTTACTGTGGCTCTGGCTAGCCTGGGACTCAGAGATTTGCTTGCCGGTTCCTCCCGAGTGCTGTGATTAAAAGCATGTGCCACCATGCCCAGGCTCTTTGTTTATTTTTATTCATTATGTAGGTGATATGGCAGGGTAGCATGCTGCTTTAATTTCAGCTTTGGGAATTACTCACGATATGTATTCTTCTTTCACCCAGAAAAGGAAATAAAGCAGCAGGGACAGTGCTACTAGAGTTTTACTTGGATTAATCTTGTTAAACATTAAAATATTTATGAGTGTGAGTCACCTGCTTGCATGTATGTATGCACACCATGTGCATACCTGGTGCCCTTGGTGGTCAAAAGAGAAGGATGGAGCCCATGGAGCCGGAGTCACAGACTGTTGGAAGCCGTTGTGTTGTTGGTGAAAACCAAACCTGGGTTCTCTTCAAGAACAACAAGTTCTCTTAACCACTGAACCATTTCTCCAACCTCCAATCTTAAAAAAAAGAAAAAGAAAAGAAACAGAAAAAGAAAAAGAAGAAAGAAAAAAAACAAAGATTTAAACAAGGACTTTTCGCCAGTGTGAAGGCTCACACCTGTAATCCCAGCACTCAGGGAGGCAGAGGCAGGTGGATCTCTTTGAGTTCAAGGCCAGCCTAGTCTACAAAGTGAGTCCAGGACAGCCAAAGCTACACAGAGAAACCCTGTCTTGAAAAAAACAAACAAACAAAAATACTTTTCATTTGAGAAATTTTCCAATTACTTGGAGTTTATATTTGTAGTATAGCATATACCAGAGTACCAGCCTTTATAGTTCTTGTGTTGTTGTTAGGAGAGATAGATAATACATAGATAAAAGCCATTAAGCAGGATTGTTTCATTTTTGAGAAAATAAAAAGTAAAGCAGGAATGGATGGAGAGTGATGGTATGATATTGCACATATTTTTATAATTTTGCATACTGAATGCTCGAAGCTTGAACTCTATTTGGCATAGCAGCCTGCTGGCAGACATGGTGCTGGAGGAGCTGAGAGTTTTACATCTGGATCCTCAGCAGGAGACTGTTCCACACTGAGCACAGTGTGAGCAGAGGAGACCTCTAAGCCTACCCCACAGTGACACACAAGACCACACTTCCTAATAGTCCTGCTCCCTATGGACTAGACATTCAGACCCATGAGCCTGGGGCAGCAGGGGTGTGGGGGTCGGGAGCATACCTATTCAAACCACCACCACCACAACCTAAAAATATATAAATTACACACTGACACACATACCCCATCCATTCATTATGTATTATCTCTCTGTCTGTCTCACAATTTATTTGGAAAAGCCTAAACTTTTTTAGATATATACATAAAAAGAAGTAGGTATTTTCTCGCTGAACCTGCATGTTGTTGATTGAGCTTGACTAGATGGCCAGTGAGCCAGGAAGCTTCATGTCTTTGCCTCCCAGTACTAGGATAACATGTTCATATTGTAGAACCAGCTTTTATGTGGGTACTGAAGGTTAAATTTACACCTTCATGCTTATGTAGCACTTTATTTAATGAGCCACTTCCTCAACCATGTAAATTTTTTTACTCTCTGCTTTACATTCTAGGTAAGCACTTTACTACTGAAACTGTATTCTCAGCTCTCTCTCTCTCTCTCTCTCTCTCTCTCTCAGTTGTTGTTTTTATTTGTTTGTTTTTGACACAAGGTCTCTCTATTTAGTCCTGACTATCCTGGAACTTACTGTATAGATCTGGCTGGCATTCAACTCACAGAGATCTGCCTGCTTCTGCCTTCTGAGTGCTGAGATTAAAAAAGTGCACCATCATGCCCAACCTCTAGCCCTACTTTTTACAGTGATACATAAAACAAAGTATTTTATGTGGTGTTTCAAAATGTGTGCACACACACACACACATACATACATATACACATATATATTATAGTATTTAAATTAGATTAAACATATGTATTACTTGTGGTGGTTTGAATAGGTATGGCCCTTATAGATTCATGTGTTTGAATGCTTGGCCATAGGGCATGGAACTCTTAGGTGTGGCCTTGTTAGAGGATGTGTTTCACTGTGGAGGCGGGGCTTTGAGGTCTTAAATACTCAAGCCACACTCAGTATGAAACAGTCTCCTGGTTGCTTTCTCATCAACACTTAACTCAGCTCCCCCAGTGCCATGTCTGCCTGCACGCTGCCATGCTTTGCGCCATGAGGTAATTGATAAAACTTCTGAAAGTGTAAGCTAGCCCCAAATTAAATGTTTTCCTTTATAAGAGTTGCCTTGGTCATCGTGTCTCTTCACAGCAATGAAACCCTAACTAAGATATTGCTTTAACATTTCTTTATGGTAAAAGCATTCAGAATCTTTCAAAGGTTTTTTTATTTGTAGGTAAGGTGTGTCTGTGTGAGGGGATGTCACATGTATGAGATGCCAGTGAATCCAGGAGAGGGTGTCAGGTTCCCTGGAGTTGGCATCTCAGTTCATTGTGAGCTGCCTGATTTATGTGTGTTCTCTGTGTAGGGAACCGCATATGAATGTGTATACTCACAGAGGCTAGTAGAAAACACTGGGTCTCCTGGGGCTGGTGGTTGTATGCTGCCTGATGTAGGTACTGGGAACTAAACTTAGATCTTCTGTAAGAGCAGTGTGCTCTTAACCCCTGAGCTATGTATTTAGCCTCTGACCTTACTTTTTGAGTCATAGTCTCTCACTGACCTTGGAGCTTATTGATTAGGCTAGGCTGTTTGGCCAGTGAGTTTCAGAGCGAATGCTGTGGGGGACAGGGAGACATCAGTGCTGGGATTCAAACTTGGTCCTCATGGTTGTGTAGCAGATGCTTTTACTGACAGAGCCCAGTTCCCAGTGCCAAAATGGCTTCTTCTATGCTGAATATGAATGACAGAGGCCCAGGAATATGGATTTAAGTGATACTCAGTAACATGTTTCTATATGGAAGTGGTTTCATGTTAAGTTTGAAGATTCTATGAGGTTGATGGACTGACAAAACATTGTCATTGTGGATCTGTATCCCCCACATCTGTATCTGAGCTAGTATTCTTTTAGCTATTAAGTAAAAGTAGTCTATTAATATAATAGGCTATTAGCTTCTAGCAACTCAAAGCTAAGGGTGTTATCAGTTAACATGTTAAGCCTGTAGACAGCATTTTCCATTTTTCTATATTCCAATCTGAGTCCTCCTTTAAGTTATTGTTGAATCTGTTCGTGTGTTCACATGTCGGCATGTGTGTGATGATGTATGTTTGAGAGGGTGAGTGTGCCATGGTGCATGCATGGCAGTAGACATATTTGTGAATTTGCTTCTCTTTTTCTACCTTTACATGGGTTCTCAAGATTGAACAGGGTCTTCAGGCTTATGTGGCAAGTGTTTTTGACCACTGAGCCATCTCACCGAAAACTCCATCTCCGATGCTTTGGAGACTTTACTAAATTTATAGCAACTTTTTCAGTATGTAAATAACATAATGATTACATACCTACTTGTGTTTGTTTCATAATATTCAAACTGTACTTATTATCCCATTGAGTCCCACTGAGGGTTAGGCCAGTTAAATGTTTTTTTCTTGTTTCATGATTATTGAGCCTGAGCCATAAAAAGTTTAAAGCGCTTGCCTAGAGTGTAATCCAAATTATAACTGGCAAAGCCAGGATTATAGCCTAACTTTTATAATTCCAAATTTTCTAATTATGAATATTAACTTCCTGAACTTGTGTTTCTGTTTGCTTTGTTTTTTTTTTCTTTTCTTTTTCATTAAAACCTTTATCCAAGTTACTGTCCAAACAATTCTTTATAATGTTCTACTTACTTAGCACAAGGAACATCACAGGCTAACACTGACTGGTTGCTAAAGGCACTCTACTTGGGCCGCTTTGTACAACCTCATTTTCCTCTTACATTCTGCTAAAAGGACAGCAACTCAAGGTGCAGAGGGAAGGACACAATGCTAGGGTCTGGGAGCTGAGTCTGGATCTAGTGTAGTAGAGATCCAAATTCATTATCAAGATGGTAAATTCTGTTCCATTTGCAGTAAGTGAGCTCAAGTTGTTTCAACTTGAAGTTTTAGGCTGAAGAGTCATCAGTTTCCAAAGGAATGGGTATTCTTCCTTGAATAAAAGGCAAACGCCAACCAAGGGTTGGAGTTTATCTACCAGTTCCAAGTCTTCTAACCCTGACTTCATTTTTTACTTCCCTCACTAGAGAAGCTGCTTTGCAGAAGAAAACTAGAATCATAATGAGTTTCTTTGTATAGAGATCCAGAATTTCATGCTTTCAAAACAAGTGAGATTTCCCAAAGGAAATGAAAGTTATCCAGTTGTTTTTCTTTTAGTTTTGTGCCATTGATTCTTCCATGAAATTCTGAAATGCTGGCTCTTCATGGCTTTCCTCTGTAACTTTGTGATCAGTGTTATGAATGTCACTGTCAGCATCTTCATCTTTTTCATCCAAGGTTCGTTGAGTGAAGATCAAGTTTTGAAGGTTCTTGTACAGGAGCTAGTTTCATGCAGTCTATTCATGTAGTCCGAGGCTACAGAGCCCTTTCTTTCTAAAGGCATGCTGGTTGCTC